CTTTTTTCATTAGAACGGTTGAACTATGGAACACTCTACCGTCTCATGTCAAATCCTCCAATTCTTTAAGTATTTTCAAGTCTCATCTTCATAAGTTGTATTCTACTAAGTTATCGCATTACGTACCTCCGGGCACTGCGTGATCAGCGTCTACACATTGCGATTTGTTGAACCATCATCCGGCCATTTTCATCATATTTACAAATATGTTATAAATTGACTCGTGATTTCCAAATTGATTTTGAAGAATTCATAATTGTAATCTGCACAGTGGGTAAGTCGCAGTGTGTAAACGTTCAGTACTTTTATAGTCACGATTCAAACCTTAGCTAGTATAAGTTGTTATAACTAATGTGTTATAACCTGTTCTTTATCTTTATTTATATTTAACGTCTTTTTAGGGGTTAGGTGTCAATTGAGACGAGAGTCCTGTTCTTTTCCCCTGTCACGATTTGTATCTGTCTTTATTTGTCTTTAATTAGTTTGTATCATGTATAAAGTGACAAATTCATTATATTATATTATATTATATTATATTATTTGTATCTGTCTTCCTTGCAGGCCCATTATTCTTCCCTCTGTGAGCCTTGCACTCGACTAAGCAGGAGGCAACATTGAACTAATATAATTTAAGAACATTAGCGATCAAAGGTAAACATGTCAACGGAGAGGTGTAGAATCACCCTGCGAATTCAAGTAGACAGTTTTTCTTGCAATTGTTTGAACGACAAATTAAAGAAAGAAAAATTGGTTTAAGTGATTAATTTAAGTTGCTATAGCGTTATTATATTAGTTATAAATTCCCCCCGATCTATCCTCGCTTGGTGGTAAGATAAGGAACATCCCATATCGGTCCAATCATACTTTCAAATATGACAAAAGACCAATTTCGTAAAAAAACTCTGATGCTATTATTACCTCACGTAAGAGATTTTCGTACTGTAAAAGGAACCAACGGTGCCAAGGGAGGAAATTGGGTGCCTTATGGATAGGGGTGCGGAAATATTTCCTGTGTATCTCTAGTAATGCTTCATATCTTTTCTTGTATTGCGCCTGAGTGGAGATGGCGAGTACAGCTTGTAAGTAACGAAGACGTTCTTTCTTGGGGATGTGAGTGAATTCTCCTCTCACTCGGTAACAGTTCTTCATCTTCCCAGCGCGGCATGTACACGACTGTTGACATTTGTCAACAACAGTATGGCCCTCTTTGCATTCTGAAAAAATTAAGTAAAAACAATAAGCAATTATTGACACATTCTGCGTCGGGATAAATTGAAGTTGAACTATTAATAACATGTAGCTGGGACTTAAGCCCGGCGCACACTGGAGATATCAGCTGAGCTGAGCGTCACTCGTGACTGTTGGCGTAAGCAATTTCCCCCAGTGTGCGTTGGCGTTTTGAGCGATTTCAGCCACACGTGCCATCGGCACCGAATATTCAACATGTTGAGTAATTTCAGTCACGAATGAACATTTCCTCCAAGTGTGCGCGCTTGAAAAGCTATCACCTTTCATTGTACATCGAATTGGCATGCGTAATAAAACATAAGACGAAAGGAAAATAATTAATGAGGAATATTCATATATCGCTACTCAAGTATCACATTCCTCATTAATTATTTTCCTTTTGTCTTATGTTTTATTACGCATGCCTATTCGATCTTCAACTCTGAATTAGCATATTATTATGTTATAAAAATACACCGGATTATTTAGATATAAACAACAACCAAAAAACCCTGTGGAGTAAACATGTGCGTAGTTTACTCTGCAAATTATTCAACAAAATAGAACGGGCACGATTTGTTTTATACTAAAAATATACATGAAAAATTACTCGATTCTGATTGGCTAAGAGAATTTTCCGAAATACAGTGTCAAAAAAGAAAAAAAGGTAGCATGAGCCAAAACCAAAGACATTTTGATCTTTAAAAGTTTTCACTTTTGACAGTACAAAACTTGTTTTAAATTTATTCCAGCATTTAAATGGGCAAGGAAATTATTTATTTCGCATGTAATTTTTGCATGCAAGCTATAAAAAGAGACCGTGAATTTGCTTCTGTATATTTTTTTCATTTCTATTATAATAAATAATAGTATGGTTTCTCGTGCAAATTCACTCGTTTTTCAGACTTGAGTGGTTTTTCCGACTTGACCTTTTCCGACACAATTTTGATCGTGTACCATACCTACAACCATACCTGCCCTTTTATTAAAAGAAGTACATGACAAGAATTCTCTTTGACTGATCCAGGTTTGGTACAGAAAAACAAAAAACAACTATATGGGGTTTTAGTGGGCATTCAAACAATTTTCATTATATCATTCTTTATGCCTGTACTGTAAAAAAATTACTTTGCCAAACCATCTTAGCTTGTTTCTTTGTTGGGATATTTAACAATGCTTGATATGCAAATTCTCCTCACTATATAACGCCAAAATGTATCATGACTTTCTGAAAAAAAAAAATTAATAATTCTAGCTTATGGATAACTCATTCAAATTTGTCGACATACAACACATATTTGTAGTATGTTGACATAACACGTACGCAAGGTTTTATGATATCAAGACACGAAACGATATCCCAAGATCTTTTCAGAAAGCCAATATGGAATGTTACGTCATAGTGAGGATAATTTGCATATAAAAATCGTTAATATCTCAAGAACGAAGCAATCTAAGATAATTTGCCGAAGTATCTTGTTTGGCCATTTTGTATTTTGTCGTCAATGCAAATTCTTTGCGCATGCATAAGTGCTGTAATTACAACAATTCCAGGCAATCAACTTACGAAGTTCTGATTTTGATGTTGTTGGTGGTTTTGGAGTTGTTGTTGGTTTGGGAGTTGTGGTCGCTGGTCGCATGGTGGGCTTTCGATATCTATAATTTTTTCCCCAACCTAAAAATGATTGAAATTCCATTTAATTAAACGCTTAACCTAAATCGGCTGTAAAAGATTTATTAAAAATTTCTGTATATAAAGACTATTGCATATACAATGACAATGTACGTACCATGATTGTAATTATAGCGATACGATGGTCTATGATATGTTCTGTAATATCTATACTTTCTGTTACCATAGCGACGGCTACCACGCCACCAACCAGAGTAACCCCAGCTCCTCTCTAAAATGAAGAAGATTATATTTGTGGGCTGGCATACAAAGTTATGTCGTTATTGTAAGAATGTTGAGTGCTAGTAAAATAAAATTTCAATTTTCATGGCTGCAGTGAAGAAAACCCAAAATGACCAAATAAGACATTTTGCCAAGCTCTTTTAGCTTGTTTCATTCTTGAGATATTAGATAACTTTTGATATTATTATTATTAATAATATCTTTTGATATTATTATTATTAATAATATCAGAAGTTATCGAGTATCTCAAGAATGAAACAAGCTAAAAGACTAGCTTGGCAAAATGTCTTATTTGGTCATTTTGGGTTTTCTTCACTGCAGTCATGAAAAAAAACTTTAAAATCTTAGGATATCGTGCATACTATAAATATACGTCGTACGTATATGCCAACAACTTTGAATTAAATATCTATAAGAGTTTTAAACGTTTTTCGGAAAGCTATCATCCAATGTGACGTCATAGTATAAGGACAGTTTGCATATCAAACATCGCTAAATATCTCAACAAAGAAACTTTGAATATTATAGTCACTCCGAATATTCTTTACAAGCATAAATATTTTAATTTTGTTACTTGATTTGTTACTAGCTACTTGATTTGATTTGTCCCGGCTCAGTGAATGTCATACTTTGCAAAAAAGAATTGACAGCTTCATATTTAGTGTTTTCCCTTTGAGTTTCAGTTTATTCAGTTTCTCACTCATTGGCGAGTGATTGTATATTGTTCAATTGATAAGGCATGCGAGGTACCTACGAATTTAACGTTTATCCGAGAAGACGCGAAAGTCTAACCATTTACTGATGCCATGCAGTGTATAGAGATATCATGTTCTCCTGAATTATTATCAGACCTCAATTAAGTGGAGGTCCGACTAATGATTGAAACCGAGTCTCCCAGTTTGAAAGCAAGCGTGGTGACCATGACACCAAATGTGCTGAGGGGAACTGAGCTCGGCTCTAACTTAACCCGTTCGTATGCCTGTGGTAGTAACTTACTTTCTTGGCCCCTCGCATCATTATTATCATTACTGTTTTTGACGTCATTATTGTCAGTAACATCAATGGCTAAAAATTAACATACAGCATAATATTAATAAAGATCATTATATCAAAGAGATCTTCGATCAAGCTATAGGCCAGATAGCGAACTATAGATACATGTATTAGAGAGCTTAAACAAGCAACGTTTTTATCAGCAAGAATGTCAGATTGCAGAGGTGGCTGGATTAATTAAAAATAATTGAATAAAAAAAGTGTTAGCCTCAAAAAGTTGCCTTAAAACTTAAAAGATTTCATTCAAAACAACAAGGCAAAAACCGCAGAATGTTTGAGCAAAATAGAGTTGACAAGCATATATATATAATACTATTATTATATACTTATTTACATCACCTATATTATAACTAGAAGTTACTATCGCAAGGAAAATATAATAATACTTGAATTATTTTAATTTTGTTACTTGATTTGTTACTAGCTACTTGATTTGGTTTGTCCCGGCTCAGTGAATGTCATACTTTGCAAAAAAGAATTGACAGCTTCATATTTAGTGTTTTCCCTTTGAGTTTCAGTTTATTCAGTTTCTCACTCATTGGCGAGTGATTGTATATTGTTCAATTGATAAGGCATGCGAGGTACCTACGAATTTAACGTTTATCCGAGAAGACGCGAAAGTCTAACCATTTACTGATGCCATGCAGTGTATAGAGATATCATGTTCTCCTGAATTATTATCAGACCTCAATTAAGTGGAGGTCCGACTAATGATTGAAACCGAGTCTCCCAGTTTGAAAGGCAAGCGTGGTGACCATGACACCAAATGTGCTGAGGGGAACTGAGCTCGGCTCTAACTTAACCCGTTCGTATGCCTGTGGTAGTAACTTACTTTCTTGGCCCCTCGCATCATTATTATCATTACTGTTTTTGACGTCATTATTGTCAGTAACATCAATGGCTAAAAATTAACATACAGCATAATATTAATAAAGATCATTATATCAAAGAGATCTTCGATCAAGCTATAGGCCAGATAGCGAACTATAGATACATGTATTAGAGAGCTTAAACAAGCAACGTTTTTATCAGCAAGAATGTCAGATTGCAGAGGTGGCTGGATTAATTAAAAATAATTGAATAAAAAAAGTGTTAGCCTCAAAAAGTTGCCTTAAAACTTAAAAGATTTCATTCAAAACAACAAGGCAAAAACCGCAGAATGTTTGAGCAAAATAGAGTTGACAAGCATATATATATAATACTATTATTATATACTTATTTACATCACCTATATTATAACTAGAAGTTACTATCGCAAGGAAAATATAATAATACTTGGCCATGGGATTCATCATTGGACATGTAGAATTTAAAACAATTTCATTTATATATAGAAATACTGAGACACTAGTTGTCCCAAGGCTACCCCTATATTTGGTCCAAGGCTACCCTGACGTGTAGACAAAATCTATATTTGTTGACGTTTTTGTTTAATACGCCAGCTTCAGAAGACACCGTTCTTTTGAATATAGCTAGTACACCTCTCCTCCGCAGAGGCTTACAAGAAGTTTCTAGTGAGGGAAAAGTGAGCGCGCAAGGAGTGATGGGAAGAGCTAAATGAAGGAAGCCTCTGCGAGTTAATGCAATCAATATGGCGTCGTATATAATCGTTTGTAGCGAAGTTCGATCAACCATCGAGGGTGTTAAAACATGTTTCCGACTTTCATTTTCAGGCGTACTTGAGTATCCTGGGGTGAATTAAATATTAACATCTTCTTCCGTCCATTTGCATCGAGAAATATTGAGAAATGTCAGACGAATATCAATAGGTACGAGCTAACTAATTATAAATATCCTCTTAATTGCAACATTTCTTTATAAAAATGACTCTATTGAACTTCGATACTCAAATTATGAAGATTCATTCCAATTTCTTTCACAATTCCGTCGATTTCAAGTTTAAAAAAGGTCAAACAGTTAGTTTGGTTCAAAAGCCATACTTCGTCGCATTATCTGGCAGAGCCTCCCCAACTTCATTTCAATCTTCCCATCACACCGCGCGCTCACTTTTATTCAGAAACTTCATGTAAGTTATTTGTAAATACTTAAGGAGGCTCTGCGGAGGAGAGAGGCTAGTATACCATGAAATGTAGTGACACAGTCAGGTGAATATAGCTATAATATGAATGTAGGCCGGTAGGATTATTTCATATTAAGCTAGCAATGGACATATCTGATATCGTAAAATATACCTGATCAACCTGAGGACATTGCATAATGTTTATATGTTACATAAATGATAAATTACGCATGTGCATCAATAAAGCACATATCACAGAAGTTGCAGAACTGACCAAATATAATAGCGATGTAATTACGTACTGCTTGTACTGTAGATGTATGCTGATAATTGAACAACTAATTGTCAAATGCTCGGCCTAATACAACCAAAATGCCACCAAATGCCCGTGTTGATAAATGAATGAATGAATGAATGAATAATTTATTTAAACACGTTACGTCCAGGAGCAAAATACGAACGTTGCTTATGCTCCCTGTCTTTCCTGTAATGCTGTTAGGCTCTAAACAGTGTAAAGAAACTTTAGAAACCTGATATATCTGCCGAAAACTATGCAACATAAACTGTGCTTTCTCATCATCTCATTGGCAAGGGACTGCCTCAAAGAGCTGGCTTTTTATATTGCGTTTTATGGTTACCTATATCCGTATAGCTTTTGAACTTTAATGTGTTCTTTCAGAAGTAGCAGGACTGAACCTACTAGAGAGTTCAGAGAAATGGTTGCTCGAGAAAATTTTGAATATTTAAACCCTCAACCAAACGGTAATGTTGAAACGTGTTGATGACATTGCTCGACTTAAATAAATAATTAAAAATTTCGGAGGAGGGACGAGGGGGCGGGAGAAAAATAAATGTTTCAAAAAATGCTAATATACATGTGAATGCTTGCTAAAATTAGATTGTCCCAATGAATGCTGTCAAAGATTGTAGTTGCCAGTTTCGAGAGCTAATAAAGCCATGCATTGAAATATGGGATTTGCCGACTTTAGAAGGGTAAAATCAAATCCTCATAAAAAGCGTAATTGTTTAAATTATATTGCCATTTCAAATTCTATAAAAAAATGTGCATCATGCTGTACATTCGATAACGAAAGCCAGTATGCAGATTTCTTTTGATCTATCTTAATTGTCTTCAGAAAATTTAATTAATATTCAAATTTCTGACATAAAACATTTTTTTTTCATTAGGATAGAGTTGCTTCATTCTTTTAAATTTAAAGAATTAAGAGGTAACTAATTTTCAATTGTTTTAATCGGGTCGGCTAATAAAACGATCTCAATGAATGTCAGTTGCTAGCTAAAATTAAAGCCAAATTGCTATTTCATCGTTTCCTCTGTAAGAATTTAAATTTGAGAAATTTATCACGTTTTCATAATTCACATTTTACAATATATTACTGTACCGTACATATGATTAATTTACAATTAATTAGTGGCGAAGAAATCCAGAATGAAACCTGCTGTATAAAGCTTATTTTGGATTTAGGCTCCCTCGTTGACAAATTTGGCATTAAATTTCAACTTTAAAGGATATAAGGCGACTTAAGGATATTGAATTATTTTAAGTATTCCGATTACGTTATATTATATATAGACCAAGATATATTTTATCCATAACAAGGTGGAAGAAATTATTTTAATTTAGACTTAAAACTATAGACGACAGATGCATTGGGAAAAAATGGATTTAAAAAATGGACCTCAAAGAAATCGTCTCGTCCTGTAACGAATTGTCAAAAAATATAGCCATGTGCAATGGTTTGTACTGAGTCAGTTTACCCTAAAATAAACCTTAAAATAAAAATATTTGTGTCTTACCATCTGGATAAAGGTCTAAATTGTCATCATCGTCAGCTCTTACTAAACTCCTTTCTATTCCCAATAACATAAGGAATATAACACCAACCAAAACTATTATGAACTGTCGTAACATTTCTGACATACGTTTGGCTCTGTCACACTAGTAACTGTGGCTCTCATGTAATATTGACTTGCCGTTTTATTTCATTCAGTTAATTGCCGGCCATTTGACGAGAACAAAGAAAATTTTAAGGTCGTATTAGGGCACTTGAGTTTATGGCACTCGCCGCTTCCTTTGACAATGCAGAAATATCGATTACTACAAATTTAAACAGTAAATTGGTTTCTAATTGCCATGATTTTGTGTTACAGTGACAATGATGCATGTTATCTAAAGAGAATATTCCAAAAGCGGAAAGAGAGCCAACTATTAACCACATAATCTCGTGGTGATGGAAATACGTAGAGTAAATTATCAAAGTTATAATATATGGGCAGGAAAGAGTTAAGGAAATGGGTTCTATAAGGTTCCAAGTAGCTACTGTAAAATAACTCTTTCTTCTCATATTTACTGAGACATAAAGTGGCGTGACACTGGACAAATTAATTAAATTAAAAGGAATTAAAGTCAGTATTGCTGCTATATTATATATGGCATGGCGGGCTTTCTGCAAAATGCAGCATTTGATTCGTTCCTGAGCGGGTGGTAACCTGCAGTACGGGCTGCTCCGAAGGAAGCAGATGGGCCGCTCGCGAAAAAAAACCTTTAAATAAAATAACTCTTTCAGTAAAAAAGACTATAAATATTTGACCTTCTATACAAAATAACTCTAGCCTATAACACTTAAAATGCTCACAAAGTGATACTTAATAGGCCTACATGCCGCCTTCCCATACTTGATAGTGAGTAAATTATTGACGTAATAATATATTGACGTAATAATATAATGACGACGTTAATAATATATTTCCAGAGAGCAAACATTTAAGGATGTAGTTTTTACAACGCACTATTAAATAACTTTTCTTCTCATTTTGAAACATAACGTCGCATCCATGACATTGGACAAATTGATTAAATTAGGCTAAATGGAATGACAAGTCAGTATATCGGCTGTTATTAATCTAGTTGCACTCTCCTCCGCAGAGGCTTTGTAGATCTTTGTAGTTTGTTTTCTTTCTATATTGTAGTTTGTTTTCGTTCTATCTTCTATATATAACTGAAGTTTGACTTAGAGTTTGCGGGCAGTAGCGGGCTAGGTAGAGAAGTGGGCACGCGGGCGGAGTGAGCGCGCGGGGTTAAAAGGGGGCATCGTGGACATTTGGAGATAATAGGGAATCACACAACCAAGCTCGCGGGGAAAGACGGGAAGAGGGAAAAGAGAAAGGGAAGCCTCTGCCAAATAATGTTCGGTTCTCTGGTTTGATTTTCGGTTCTGTGGTTAACACACTATTTATGGCAGAAAACACACTTGAAATACAAACAAGCTACAAAGATCTACAAAGCCTCTGCGGAGGAGAGTGGGAACTTGATACATCTCTTCAAAACCTTAGTCTGGTAGGTAAGTTAAACGATTTTTGTACAAATTGGTACATGATTTTATTGATTCTTTAAACTCAAGGCTCGAAATAGCAGGCTGCCAATGGCCAAAAGCAGGCCATATTTTAGAAATGGCAGGTAAAAACAAATTTGAACTGCCAAAGTTAAAAAAAAATGGCAGGTGAAATTCTATAGATATATAGTTTCATTTCATTTGCTTACCACAACTCATATATACAAGATCATTTAGTCGACTAAACACATTTATATTTGAAATGTAAATCCAAGTGTACTGTAGTAAAATAGACAAGTTTAATTAAAAATAATAAAAATGCATGAAAACATTGATTTTTACAATATGACTCATATGAGACATCTCCATTTTGGCAGTCCAATGAATAAAAATGGCAGGCTAAAATTTATTTCACTTGCCAAAACATTTAAGACTGGCAGGCCATATTTTTCTCTACTTCGAGCCCTGCTTTAACTGCTTGTTTTATCCATTGTTTATCTATTTTATAAAATCTGTTGGTTTGTTATATTCTTATATTCACATAATTCTTTCACTTTTGAGACTGTATCCCATCTCCATGGATGTGGTACAGAACTTTCTGAACAACTTCGAGCATTTGTAGTTTGCATTAAGTGCAAATTTACTTCTCACTTCTCATTCGTGGATTTATAATATTTATAGATGAAGATGAAGTCGATCTTGGCTGTACGCCTTTGACTAGTACTCCTAAGAAAGACAGTTCTGGAAAACATGCTTTGACTCCGAATTCTAAAAGACAAAACGAGCCATCTTGAAAGAAACTGAATGCTTCTGAAAGCCCCTCATCTGTTTCTGAATTTTCTGGTGACTGTGGTAAGTTGTGACTACTTTATCACACAAATTTATTTTGTCTTGATCCAGGGTGCATTTTAAGAAGTGCAATATACCAAAAATATATTTAACATTAATATAGCAAATTACTATATTATTTGTTTTAGTTTGTGGAAACACCATACTGTATAATTATATTTATGTATAATTGATAGATCATTTTAAGAATTTTATTCTTTTAATTAACATAAATATTATGGACTTTGCCAAGCCAGTGTGATGGAAAGAATATTTCTACCCCATCCCCTGAGATACCCCACAACCAGATACATATGTAATAGACCTTAAATGCATAATGACGTCACAAGACTTGATCCTAGCAAGA